AGCCACCAGACAGCTACACGGACTATTATGGAATAAAAAAATAACAAAAGAAAATAAAAGAAGAATTTATAAAACAATAATAGAAAGTATTGGATTGTATGGCGCCGAACTCTGGGAAATAAACCAAAGAAACAAATAAAAAATTAAGGCCATGGAAATGAACTACTGGAGACGATGTTGCCAGCTCACTAGACTTGATAGGGTGAGAAACGAAGATATTAGGAGAGAAATGGAAATCGATCTAGACATAATAGACACAATCGAAGCCAGAAGACTTAACTGGTATGGACACCTTCAGAGAATGCCGGAAAATAGATGGCCAAAAAAAATAGAAGAATGGACTCCGCCAACTAGAAGAAAACGAGATAGGCCAAGACGATCCTGGAGAGACGATGTCGACGATGCAATGACCGCCAGAGATCTAACAACTGAAGATTGCTTCGACAGAAAACGCTGGAAATTAGGATGCGAGAAGCGGCGCCAGCTGTAGAAGACTCGCTTGTTATACAACCTTTGTACCGAATAAAACAGTTTATTTCTTCCAACTAATAATTTACTGGCATTTGAAACTCCATAGACAGGTCATTTTATTTTATACAAGATGAGTTATCATTATAAGCACATATATAGTAGATTTAGGATATTCGGATCAAAATTTGCCTTTGGATGTGGCTTTGGAAATAAATTGTTTCTTGCCGTATAACTTCAGCAATAAATTAGCAATTAATTCCTTGCGGTTCACTTTTCTAGTTTCATCGTTTTTTGAAGATATCTCGATTTTTTCAGGGTGACTTTTGCGCTAGGTAATTATGGGGTAGTTTTTGTAATAAATTAGCAATAAGTTATAGTCTTGGTCTGAATTCGACATCCACTTGAATGCTATTACTGCAGACGCCCTATAACAGTCCAGCACATCTTACAGAATGTCCTCTTTACACGTATGAAAGAAGCATCAATGATATTTGATGTCAGAATAAGAATATATTGAACTGTCCAACAGAATTAAATATAATTACTATTTAACTGGGAATAAGCCACAATTAAAGATAAAAATACGTTTATTGACGTTTAAATTTCTACTTCGGAAATCGTTCTTAAAATACAAACAGTAAATTAAATAAATTTTGTTTTTTGTTACATAGTGAAAAATTCTTCTAATAATTTAATTTTATCTGTCTCATTTATATTGACAATTCATACATAAGTACATTATGCATTTTAAAGTAGACGACTTTAAAATGATATTGCCAATATTGTTGAGTTGCGCTCCTGGGACGACTTTACTTATAAGATAGTTCATTCGATTACATGAAATCAACTTTAACTTGAGAATATCCATCAGAAAAAAATCATAGCATGTAATTCGTCTTTAAAAAGACAAACACATGACATGATGACAGTAAAATTCTCCTCTTAGTGATTCCATAGTAAATTATGGAGGAAAAACCAGGAAAAAAACCTCATCATACTATCCCAACACAGTAAGTATTTGTTCGTGAATTTAGTTTACCTTCAACAAACATCAAAATTCTGATTTTATATGTTACCTTATTTAAAAAACATAAATGATGTATCCTCTATATGTTACTGACATACTAATACTAGTATTTTCTTATTAATAACTTCCTCTTTCAATATTGGTAACCAGATCCTACTACATTCTGCCGAGGAATTTGCGACACAATTGGCCTCATTTAGCATAATTAGAGCCGCTTCTTTGATTTTTCTTTTTTTATCATCCGTTTCTTTTAGGACTACATTTGAATTATTCCATTGAACCCTATGTTCATTATCCCATACGTGTTTACATATTTTATTACATATTACATACACAATATTCTTGTGTATTTGCTTGTATGTTGTTTCATTTTTACCTCTGTATTTTCTTCTTTCGTCCATCGTGTTTAGAATTTCTTCTGTCATCCATGGTTTGTTCTTTTTTCGTGTATCTTGTTTGAGGTAGTCTTCTGTTACTCTTGTAAGTGTTTTCTCAATATAGTGCCATTCTTCCTCGGGAGTTTGTGTCGATTGTACTGTTTTGTTACTCAAGTGTCTATGTATTTCTTCCCGTATTTTATTACTAGTGGATTCTTCTTTAAGCTTATCTAGGTTAATAGCTATTATTTGCTCATTTCTTTTTGTTCTTTTAAACTCTATCCTGATTGTTGCAAGAAGAAGATTGTAGTCGGTGGGGATGTCAGCTCCGGGGTATGTCTTGCACGCTTTTACTGCGTTTTTGTATCTTTTGTTGGCCATTATGTAATCGATTTGATTTCTTGTGATGCGTGCTTCTACTCCATCTGCTGGAGATTTCCACGTGTAGAGACGTCTGGGTAGTAACTTGAAAAAACTGTTCATTATAATGTACTGATATGCATATGCTTATGAGCCATAACGCATTTATTCCAGATAATAACTGAACTCGTTTGCATCACTGCAACCATTAATTCCTCTTCTTTTTTTAATGGAAGCTTGAGTACTGAATGTGCTGTTCGCCCACTATCTAACAATTATCTGAAATAACAACTGTAAATTGCCTACATCTGCAGCAACTCAACGACTTCAAATTACGATTAAAATATTTTACAATTACGGTAAAAATTAATATGGAAAATTTTATGAATTTAGTATACTCAATTAGATTTTAAATAATCATAATGAAACCAGTCAAACTGAACTTGGGTTGCACCATTTGCCACAGCAAATAATTATGTAGTTGTCAGCACTAACTTCCAGAGAAAAGATATCCATAAAAGAACACGGAAAATACCAGGAAACAATGAAGTCAATCAAATTGACCACATCCTCATCTCAAAAAGATGGACAATAGACATAACTAATGTCAGAACGTATCGCGGGGCGAACTTTGACTCAGATCACTATCTTGTGGGGGAAAATTGTGACATAAAAACCCGACAGTGGCCAAAGGAAAATAGCCAAATTATAAAATGGAATATCGAAGGATTCAAAAGTCCAACAAAGGCACAAGAATATCAAAATACTCTCCAAATAAAACTCAACGGAATCAGAGAGGAAGATACTACAGAGACAGAATAGAGACAATTAAAAACAATAACGGAATCTGCAGAGGAAACTGTCGGAAAAGCCAAAAGATAAAGTAATACGAAATGGTATGATGATGAATCCAGAACTGCAGTACAGAAAAAAAGCAAGCTAGGCTTAACCAATTTCAAAGAAACACAAGAAATAGCAGAGAAATTACTGCTTACTGAAGCACAAAAAGAGGGCTTAAAATAAACAAAACAAATACTTAGTACATGACCATCAAAAGAACACCTGAAAATGAAAATAATATAGCAATAGACAACTATAATATTGAACGTGTGGATGCATCGAAATATCTGGGCACAGATATCAACCAGAAGAATTCCGTAAGTAGTGAAATTAATGCACGTATTTCCAGTGGCAATCGTACATAGTATGCTAATAAAAGATTGATGATATCGAAATAAAAAAGAGCTAAAAAAGAGGAAGTAATTTTAAAACATTCGAGAGAAAGACTAGAAAAGTATATGGTCCGGTGCAAGAGGAAAACGGCACATGGAGAATCAGGAGAAACGACGAGGTTAATGAACTGAATGAAGGGTATGACATTGTAAGATTTGTGAAAAGTCAAAGACTGTCATGGCTGGGACATGTTCAGCGACAAGAAGACATGAAAACGACAAAGACATGAGTTAAGATGTTACAATGGAAGCCGGTAGGAAGGTGGAAAAAAGGAAGGCACAGGACGAGATGGTTGGATGACGTGGAAGACGACGTGAAAACCATGAATATAAGACAATGGAGGAGAAGGGCTCAGGAGAAATCTGAATAGAAGGACATAGCCAGACAGGTAAAGACCCATCCAGGGTTATGATGCCAAAAGAAGAAGAAGTAGATTTTAACATTTATTAATATTCTCAGTAGATTTTAAAATTTAAGTTTATTTAGAATTCATTCATTAAATTTATAGTTATTAAAATATATGGAATGAATGCCCAAACTTATATTTTTAACTTAATTGCAGAGAAAATGTTAAGAAATTGTTTTTTATTGTAAATTAAGAATGTTGAACATTTTACTCATTTTTAATTCTAATCATACATAATTCTTTCAAAATAAAAATCTTTTACTCTCGAGTAAAAATCACATTTTTCAAAACACTTCATATACAACTAATAAAGTTGATATCTGATGGTATATGGTATAGATCAATTATAACTGGGTGTATGGGAAAATAAAACTGCTTTTACTATTTTCCTTACAATTTCATCATATTTTTTCGAGTTTATGCGAAACGAAATAAGTAAATAGACATGACGTTTGTTAAACGTCACTTTATGATATTTTATATGTAGTTTTCAATTCACAATTAAAAAAATAAGGGTCATTTTGGGACTAGCTTGGACAAAAATCCTGACACCAGATTTTTATATATTATAAAGATTTCGTAGAATTCCATATACAAAGAAAGGAAACTCATCGAAATTAATATCACCTCAACGTGATAGACAAAAAATGGCATTAAACTTGGAATAGTACGTTGCCCATATTTTTTTATTTAATTTAATAATCATTTTAATGTTTTAAGCTAATAGCAATGAGTTTAATGAAAGTAGAAAATCCACAGTTGGAATTCAGGTGTCAAGGATAATATATAATATTCAGTGCGCTGCATAATCCTTTTTAAACAGTTTTAGCATTTTAAACACACATAATGAAATAAGATATAATCTCAACCACGGCTTGCTGAAAAGTATACATTTAAAATGTGGTTTGGAATAAATATTAAATTTAGTTTTATTAGACGTGCATATAAATCCACTTTCAGGTTTTATTATTTATCTACAAAAATAAAAATTACTTGTACATAGGCAAAAATATATCTACGCAGACATTCGGAATAACATTATAAAAGTTAAAACAATTGCAGTAAAAAAATAATATATATAGTAAATATCCTTTCAATGCAAGTATAAAATGCGAAAAAATCTTACCTATTTTCTAAATCAATGCTCAATTTATTATTATTGCTTTCTATAATGGCCGTTGTTTTCACTTTATTATTGTCTTCTGCAGCTAGCAGCAGCTCAGTTCTTCCATTTTGGAAAGGAGAAGAGCTTCTTCTATCTCCTAATGGTCTAGCTTGTGTCGGGCTTTCTCCAGCTTTGAGGAGATCGTTCTGAAAAAAAAAATCAGTCTTAAATTTACTTATTTATCAGAAGTAATATATTTAATGCGTGAACATATTGCGGTTCGTATTCTGACTTATAGGATCAACACTTCGATAGGCAATTTTATTACCGACAAAAGGGCATAAACGATCGACTTAAAAATACAATGTTGAATTATTTAAGAACCCAACAAAGAAATAAAAATATTGGATATTTTTTAGTGGCATAGAATTTTGAATTGGAATAAAACAAAGACAATTTTTTAAATTGACATGAAATTGACTTTATTTAAAAGATAATCTTTTGGAATTATAATTTAAATATAATTTCTGGCATATGACCACCATGGCTGGCTCTGACGTAGTCTAATCTGGAGGTCCAATTTTCGATGATTTCTTTCCAACATTTGTGACCGTATATCGACAATAACACGGCGAATGTTATTCTCCAAGTGGTCAATAATTTCAGGCTTATCGGAGTAGACTAACGATTTCACATATCCTCACAGAAAATAGTCTGGCGGTGTTAAATCGCACGATCTTGGAGGTCAATTCACGGGTCCTCTTGTTGAAACCACAACTCCTGCACATCATGGTTGTTCAAATCAGAAATAAAAAGTTCGATAATCATGGCTCAATATAGGTGACCATTAACTACAACGTTCTCACCAGTATCGCTTTTGAAGAAGTATGGACCAATGATTCCACCAGCCCACAAAGCATACCAAACAGTCAGTTTTTCCCTATGTAATGGGGTCTCAACATACACTTGAGGATGATCTTCACTAGAAATATCGGAGTTCTGTTTGTTGATATAACCATTCAACCAAAAGTAAGCTTCATCGCTAAACACAATTAGCTTATCAAAATCAGGATCAACGGCAATCTCGTTTTGGGCCCATTTGCAGAATCTACGCCTTGCTAGGTGATCGTGTAGCTTCAATTCTTGCACGAGTTGCAAGATTCAATTCGCGTCTTACTCTATGCTACGCTCTACATCTTCTGTACACACTGTACTACGTCTCTGTGGATGCGTATTATCATTTAGAGTAAACATGGTGCGAAAACGTTACATGGCTAATCGTACTTATTGCTCTGATGGACAATTATGTTTACCATAAAGTGGAAGTAGCGCGCGATACTACTAAACCAAACTAAACGTAAATCACTTGAAAGCTAACAGCTATCAAAATGATCGCTAGTTAAAAAAGTATTGCCAAATTACATTTCTATACCTCTAAAAAACATCCTTTATTAACTTCCTAATCAAATAAAGTAAATAAACCATGTTTGCCATGTAAAATAATGTGTTTATATATCGTATCGCCTCCATAATAATGTTTTAATGGATTGGCGATTTTTCTTACGCAACTTAGTATTGACTTCGGGAGAGGATTGGTAAATATACAGGGTGGAACAGCCAAATGGAATAAATTTAATAATTAGTAAATGGGGGCGTGTTCAAAAAACGCTTACACGTTCATTGACGTATTTAGTTGGGCATATTTTACAATAAAAACTTTTTATACAGGATGTGTCAATGTAACAGTGGTCAATACCAACTTTTTTATTTCAAACACAAAACCCTGTACATTATTCAAGTTTTGGATTCCTCATAATATTCTAGATATATTTCATGTACAATATCCTATACCTATTTTTAACTGTTTTGAAAATTTTAAGTGTTTTCGATTAATTACAAAATTTTCTACAACACTCAATGCTTGTTTCTCATATACAGTGGGTGATCAAATTATTAGAGCCACCTAGTGAAATTCAATTTTTTTTTTTTGTATAATATATTAATGCGTTTGTTTCCATTTGATTATTTGGTAACACTTTATGAAATGAAATCGTAGGCTTCCACGGCCAGAGTCAGAATTATAGTTTATTCGTCTTCCGGGTTTGGACCGTGTCATTTGTGAGTGACCCAAAAGTGGGTTCATCTCGACGTTTCGCTACAATTGTATGTAGCTTCTTCAGGAGAACAAAGAAAAAGAAAAAGAAAAAGAAGACAGGAAGATGGGTAGTTAGCAACGGTAACTCAGCTACTCAACGCACCCAGAGGCGAATACTAACCACCAAGATGGGCATTTGGTCACAGTAACTCAACTACTCAACGCAGCCAGAGGTGAAAACCAACTGCCAGGACAGGGATTCACGTCCAACAGCTCAGAACAATAACGCGTCGAGAGGCGGGGATTCACTCCCCGCCTCTCGAGATTTTCAACAACTTCATGAAATATTCGAAACCTTTAATGTCCACAAAAAGGGAAAGAAATGATAAATGGACATAGAAAGAGACAAGAAAAAATGTTAAGAAATAATAGTAACGAAATAATTTAACAATGTCCAGAAATAGCCAAAGAGGAAGTTATTTTATGTAGTAAAAACTCAGAACAACGGAAAAGACACCAGTTCAGACAATATCAATGTCGAAGTAAATTAATTGCAGACAACGAAAATAAAAGCCTAGACTTGATAACAGCACTTATTCAATAAGATATAGGACATACGTAAAATTCGATCAGATTGGCTAAAAATCAACACTCGTAACATTACTAAAAACCCAATTCCTCACAATGCGATAACTATCGAATATTAAGCTTAATGTCGTATGTGGTTAAAAACTTTCTCAGATTCATCCATACACGAATTTACGAAAAGTGTGTCTTTCAGATGAGTGACACTCAATTCGGATTTTTAAACGAATTGCGAACACGGGAAGCTCTTTTTGCCTCAAATGATTCGGAACTGTATTAGCATCAAAGGACAGGAATTTAAATAGAGCACATAACATCCGAAGATGTACGAATCCGATGAGGAGTGCGACAGGGTTGAGTCCAATGACGTATAATATATAGACTGAGCAGTCCCGTATTCTCGCTATATAATCGGGTGTCCGAAAGATCTCTGCTCAAGGTGAAGGTATGTTTACCAGAACAGCGGCGTGCTTATTTATATTTTAATGACAATAATACCTGCTTTTAACCTGAGGATGGAATTATTATTCCGAAAACGCTTGTTATTTTGATGTAGCCCTTTTAAGGGTTTTTTAAATATACTTACTTACAAAGATTTAAACCTCCTTTTTTTTTAAGTAAAATGGCACAAGAAAATAGTTTCAGAATCAAACTAAAAACTCCAGAGAAATACGAAAGAGACGAAAATGGCAATTAATAATGACAAATAGTCAGACTAGCCCACACCCAAACAGGGTTATAAAGCGAAAAGAAGAAGAAGAATCAGAAGTAAACGCACTACAATATTGTTTTTGTTATAAAAATAAAAATAAAGTTAATTAAAGTTTTTTGTATTCAAAATCTAAAAGTAAAAGTGATAATTGCATTTAAGTATACATAAATTGTCAAATCACACAGTTATAGGCCAGGAAATGAAGCAATTTGACTCGCAATTTTTTGTCAAGCATGGATTTACTTAAAATTTTCACAGAAGGAAGGGTATAACCCAAGGATTCTTTTCTATATGATGCCGCTGAACGCTAAAACCTTGGGGGTGGTTGCCACACCATCTAAGGTGTGGGACTTTTTTATTACAATTAAACCATGGAAATCGATGAAAAATATAAGTATAAAGAAAAAAATTTTACGTTTTCTTCATAAAACTAATATTTTTTGAGTTATTCGTGGTTAAAAGTAACAGTTTTTCGACTAAAAAATCGACTTTTTAGAGGGTTTTTTGGGAATAACCCGAAAAATATGCATTCAATAAAAAAATCTGTATAAGTATATCAAAATTGTATCTTTTAGAAACACAAACAAAATCGTTTTTTTTTTATTTTTCTACGACCAATACAAAACGCACTACGCATGTTAAAGGTTAGGTTTTTTCGTCAAATGCATAATTTTAAATATTCAAATTCAAATAACGGAAAAACTTTACTTTTTTGAGGAAAACTACAAAGACCAAATACAATTAGAACTTTTAAAACAAAAGTTTCTAATATAAAAATTGAGCGATTTATGATCAAAATAAGCTCGGTACCTACTTTTTTCTACGAAAAAATAAGTAAAAACAACCCCCTAACTACCCCCCCCAATTAAAACTTACACTTAAGAATTTTGACCTATTTAAAAGATTTTTTGCAATTTCATATTGTTCACCCATTTCTTCGAAATATCTCCGAAATACTGAAGATACGAAAAAAATGATAGAGTACTTAATTGTAGCTTTTTTAGTAACTAAAATTGCTTGTACATAGATTTCCTTTATTGTGAATATTTAGCGAGGTATAGCTGTTGAGCAAACACCCCCTTATTCGAGCCCTTTAAACTCACCCCACTTAAAAACTAAGCGATCTTACGGAATTTAATTTACAGTCTTATAACTCTTTAAAAACCCTACAAAATGATTATTGTTACAGCTTTTTATTACTAAAAATGAAGGAGCTATGTTCATAAAACGATTTTTTTTTTCAAAAAATTCGAATAGCCCGCTTGGGAGCCTAATAGAGCATTTTTAATGTATTCATAATACCACAGAACCGGATTTTCGACAGTAATACGTTATAATATGCTCCACTTTCTCCATTCAAATCGAAAGACAGAAAAAAAGAAACATCAGCTCATGTGGCTGCATGTGTGACGGTATATTTCGTTGATTCCTCACCAGTGTGTTCTACAACTCGAAATAAATGACACATGCTCTGACAATTTTTGTAGAATTAATATTCTTTTTGTTCTTCTTCTTCCTTCTTGTATACAAGCTTTAAAGCCTGGGCTTCAATATTAACTTCCTAAATTGTTTAAATTCTAGAAAATGAACTAATGAAATGAGCCTAATCCCAAATTTTTGTACAAATCGATGCTGGCCGAAAAAATTGCTAGGTTTTGCTATTTTTTAGCTTCATTTTCTGGCCTATTATATATTATCTTACCATTTTTATCTATAATAAGACCAAAAGTTCGAAAGAGCTAAGAAAGTTCAAATGACTCCACCGATTATTGTAGAGGGAGTCATAAACTTTAATGATCTTTATGTTATGGTAC